CAAACAATTTATGTGACTGTGTGAGTGCCTACATGCATTTATATGTGCCACATGCATGCCTACCGATATCAAGGACCAAAGTGGGCACTGGATCCCCTGGTAATAAAGTTACGGCAGTTGTGAACCACCTTGTGGATACTGGGAACCAAAGCCAGGCTTTCTGTAAGAGCAACAAGCACTGTATCTGCACTCCTTGCTTTGTTCTATTTGTGACTAGGTTTCATGAAGCCCCAGTTGGCCTTGAACTATGTAGCCCAAGCTGGACTTTCAATTTTCAGTGCTTCAGCCTTTTGAGTAATATGCCTAATTTACCTGTTTACTTTTTATTTTGAGACAGAGTTTCACAAAGTTGCCCAGGTTGTCTTTGAATCTCCTCTGTAGTCTGGGCTATTCTTGAGCTCTTATTTTGCTTTTACTTCCTTTCCCTCTCCTTTCCTCCCTGTGTTTGTGTATATACATGTCCATATGGGTGTGTGTACATATGTAGGAGTACATGTTCATGTAAGCCAGAGGTCCATCTATGATGTCTTTACTTGTATTTCTGAGATCAGGTCTCTTACTGAACCTGGAGCTTGTAGATCCAGGTAGACATCCAGCCAATAAGCTCCAAGGAGCCACCAGTATCAGTTCCCTTCCGTACCCACACATATAAGCATATAATCTATGTAAAAAGAGTACCTAAGCTGGACTCAGTGTTACACACCTATAACACCAGCACCTGGTGAGGCAGAGGCAGGTGGATCTCTGTGAGTTCAAGGCCAGCCTAGTCTACAAAGCAGGTCCAAGAGAGTCAAGGCTACACAAAGAAACCAAACATACACACACCCCTCCAAAACAAAAACAAAAACAAAAACAAACCCAAAAAACCAAAAATGGTATCTAGTGCACCCTCAGGACAAACCCTGTATTAAACATATTACTAGCCACAAACTTTTCCTATATTTAGTTTATTGGGTTACTTATAGAAATTTGGATGAGCGGTTATCTACAGGAGCATGAGAGAGCCCAGCAGGACTGTCCAACAGAAACTTACAATAGGAAGTTCCACTTTTGCATTGTTCAATATAGTAGCCACTAACAATGATCCTATAGAAATAATGTCTTTTAATTTAATTTAAAAATTATTTTAAGAAACAGGATTTCACTGTATTACCCAAATAGACCCTGGATGCCTAGACTCAAACAATCCCTCTTGTCTCAGCTTTTTTAGCAGCCTGGACTACAAAATGTTTTACTGATTATTTAAAAATATTTTTATTATAAGATGACAGTTGATATGGTGCTTGTCTAACATGCCCTGTACCACATAAAACTGAAGCTGGTGGCCTAAGTCTATAATCCCATCACTTTAGAGAAAGAAGCAGAAACTCAAAGTCATCCTCAGCTAAGTACCTAATTCATGGCCAACCTGAGTACAGGATATTCTGATTCAGAACAAAAGAGAAACAAAAAGGGAATGAATGAAAGAAAGAATAAAAAAATAGCTGGTCCACCTTCTGCCTACCAGTCTTGTGTATGTGTGTGCACGTATACCTCTATGAGTGGTTCTTAACCTTCCTAATGCCACCACTCTTTAATGCAGTTCCTCATGTTGTAGATACTCTCTCCCCACCAACCATAACATTATATTGTTGCTACTTTGTAACTATAATTTTGCTACTGCTATAAACAGTAATGTAAATAGCTGATATACAACTCCAAAGAGATTGTGACCCACAGATTGGGAACTACTGACCTTTATATACTCAATGAGTTTAATATAGGACTGCTTACAGGAACATGGATGAGGGGTTGTTTCAGGAGCAAGGGCAACTTATTAGTGGCTTCACCACTGTAGCAAAATGTCTCTTCTTCCCCTACCAACTATTAACTACCTATATGGATCTTAGGGAAGAGTAGGGCTTTATGAACACCTCTCCCCATAACAAGATGATTCCTTGAGCTTAATGGTTCCAGACGAGCCTGTTCAACACTGATTATCTCAAAGGGGAAGAAGGAACAGAGTGGTGGTGGTACAAGCCTTTGATGGGAGGCAGAGGCAGGTGGATCTCTGAGTTCGAGGCCAGCTTGGTCTACAGAGTGAGTTCAAGACAGGGCCACACAGAGAAACCCTGTCTCAAAAAACAAACAAACAAAAAAACAAAAACAACAACAACAACAACAACAACAAAAAAAAAACTGGGGGGAGAGGGAGAGGAAGGAGGAGGAGCCTAACATAGTGATTCACACCTTTGAATCCTCACACTCAGAACTGCAGACAGTTTGAGCCTAACTTGCCAGCCTGAGTTACAGTGAGATCCTGTCTCAAAATATGAAAACCAAGCTAGGCATGGTGGCACACACCTTTAATCTCAGCACTCAGGAGGCAAAGACAGGAGAAGATATATGAGTTCAAGGACAACCTGGTCTATTTAGCAAGTTCTGATCAGTCAGGGCTACATAGTGAGACCCTGTCTCTAAAAAACAAACACCAACCAATCAAGCAAAATTGTCAGGGGCTGGCAAGATGGCTCAGCAGGTAAATGGCACTTTGTGCCAACCATGCCAACCTCAGTTTAACTCCCAGGAACCCGCATGGTAGCAAGAGAGAACTTCTGCAAGTTATCCTCTAACTGCCATAGGACTGATTGCTGTGGCATTTTAAAACCAACTCCCCATAGAAATAAATAAAAAGAAAAAAATTTAAAAAGACACAAATAAAAAAAAGTCAGGCAGTGTCCTGGAGGTATGCAGAAGTTGAAAAGCTGAGCTAGGAGTATGGAGAGTTTCAGGCTGGACTGGACTACATAATGAAACAATGTCTTGAAAACAACAAGAGCAGCAGCAACAAAACAATAAATAACTTTCTGTGGGAGGTTGCTCTTTTTTGCTTTCTTAGACAAAGGCAGATATTGTAAACAGTATTGCAATTTGTTTCAATTATGTTACAAATCTCAGGGTTTACTATCTTTTGAATGCTTACATTATATAATAGGAGGTTTGAGTAAGAATGGCCGGCTGCCCAGCCCTTTAATCCCAGCACTCATTGCGGCAGGCAGGTGTATCTCTGAGTTCAAGGCCAGCCTGGTCTATAGAGTCCAGGACAGCCAAACCTACATAGAGAAACTCTGTCACAAAACAAAACAAAACAAAACAAAACAAAACAAAACAGAAAATAAAGAAAAAAATTGCCTTGGTCAAGGTGTCTCTCCACATTTGCAGAACAATGGCTAAGACAAATAGTAACAGTAATACATTGCATAAAGTTATATTTTACCTTCATATACCAAAATACCCCTCAATACTGGGAAAGTAGTTGCCTATCTGTAATCCTGAAGTGGAGAGAGGAAGATTGAGAAGCCAGCCTGGGTTATATAGTAAATTCCAGGCTGGCCTCAGCTATATGGTGGGGGCCCTGCCTCAATCAAACAATGCACATTTTTCCTTCTCGTTTTCATTCTTTATGTCTCCCAAACTTTCTACTTCAGTCTTCCAAGTACTGGAACCACGGGCATATCCAAAGAGACCTGCCTCATATTACTAGCTGGTCTGGAAGTCTTGAGCTCAAGAAATCCTCTTGCCTCAATCTCTTGAATAGCTGCAACCATGGGCTGGTTAAAAGGAGGGTATTTTAAAGAACACTGCATAAATTCAACCACTACCCAGTTTTTGGTTTTATTATTAGTATTTGGTTTTTCGAGTCAGGGTTTCCCTGGCAATCCGGGAACTTGCTATGTATACCAGGCTGGCCTTAAACACAGAGATTCACCTGCTTTCTGAGTGTGGGGATTAAAGGTGTGTGCTACCACTACCCAGCTTATTATTATTATATTAAATGACAAAGATGTAAACATTTTTTATTTATTTTTATGTGCTTTGGTGTTTTGCCTGTATGTCTGTCTCTGTGTGTGAGGTTGTCAGATCCTCTGGAGCTGCCATGTGGGTGCTAGGAATTGAACCTAGGTCCTTTGGAAGTGTAGGCAGTGCTCTTAACGGGTGAGCCATCTTTCCAGCCCTTATTATTATTATTACTATTATTTTTGAGACATGGTTTCTTTGTAGCCCTGGCTGTTCACTGTCCTGGAACTAGCTCTGTTGACCAGGCTAGCCTCGAACTCAGAGATCCGCTTGCTTCTGCCTCCAAAGTGCTAGGATTAAAGGCAAGTGTCATTACCGCCTGGCTTATCATTTCTTTTTAATTCGTTTCCTAAAATTATGTGCGTATTGTTCAAGTTCATTCACTTTAATATTTACCTTAAACTGCTCAAACAGTGTTGCTGAGTTTTCCTTGGCAATCCTTACCTTTGGATGAAATTTAGCGTTGGTGTATTTACAACTTTAAATTCACACGACTCCCCTAGGTAATTTGTAAATCTGTACAAGCACACCCGCCCCTGTTTTTTGTTTGTTTTTGTTTCACAGTCAGGAACCCTGATCTGTGTTTTCAGCCTGTACCCAAAATGACTGGGAAGCCAGAAGCCCAGGAACCATAGCGTCTCAATGCAACTTCCTATTTTGCAGCTTTGAAAATCTCAACGTCAGGGGTTTAAGGTCGTAGGGTGCGAGACCGGGCGACTCTCAGGGGACACAAGAATGAGCAGCCCACGTCGTGACCTGTGGTAAAACTTTACCTCGGCCACTAGATCCGGGAAAAGCAGCAATTTCCCCGAAGAATTAACCATTTTTCAACCGGTCCGGTTCACGTCCCCACCCAGAGAAGCCTCCAAGAAGAGTCTCGAACTACGTGCGGACCGCGAGCGACGCAAACCGGTGCCTCCCGGGGTCCGCTTCCCGCCACCGGGGCCCCTCCTCCGGGCTCCCGCTCGGCCGCCGGCCTCCCGGAGGCGCCCGCGCCGGCAGGTCTTGGCGCCAAACGGGTGGCGGCGCTGTCCACTGCGCGCGCGGCCGCGTCGGGCTCAACGGAGGCGGGGGCTCGGCCGGCGGAAGAAGGGGCGGGAGCGAGGCGCGCGTTGCTCTCGCGTGCTCTCGCGCCGCTCGCGTGACGGACCCTGGGTGTGCGCGACGCTCCGGCTCCGCGGGGCACGGGCGGCCGAGAGCGCGCCGCGGCGAGAAGGCTTCGGGTGCCCGGTGGGCGCGAGGTGCGGGCGGGCGCGGGGGGCGCGCGGGCGTGCACCCGCGCGCGGGCTCTCGGAGGAGCCGCGGCCGAGGCTGCGCTTCCTCAGCCCGACGGAGAGCGGCAGTGTCGCCCCGGCCGGCGCACGCTCGGCCCGCGTCTCCCCCCGCGGCGGCTGCTCCTCGGCACCGCCAGCCCCAGCGCCGCTCCGGGGCGGGCGGCGGCGGCGGCGGGACCCACGGAGCCGCTTTGTGTGCAGCCCGACGAGGGGCGGCGACGGTGGCGGCGGCGCAACCACCTGACAGAGGCCCGGCGCTCGCTGCACTGTCCGCCCGCATGAGGAGGAGGTAAAGCGGCGGCTGGGCTCGCGCCCTCGGCGGCAGCGAGGGAGGGACGGAAGGGGAGACCGCAGGGGAGGGCGCGCGCTGAGGCCCGGCGGGATTGCCCGGAGCGGCGGATCAGGCCTCGGTGATGCCGGGTAGCGCCTGGCGGCCGAGGGGCGGGAGACGCCGCCGGGCTCGGTCCCCGAAGTTACGGAACAAAATGCGAAGTGCAGAGCCGCGTCCTCCGCTTCCTGGCGCGGGGCTCGGGCCGCGGGCGGCTGGCGGGGGTGGCGTGCTGGCCGGGGAGGGGCTGCCGCGCGGCGGGGACGCTGGGGCCCCCGGGGCTCGGCGCGACCAAGGCGTTCTGCTCCCGGGCGCCGGCGCCGCGCGTGGGTCCTCTTGGATACCTAGTTTTGCGGCCTAAGCTGAACCCTCTAGGCCTCGAGTCTCCTCTTCTGGAGGGGACTGTCTAGGCGGTCACCCGGCCGGTTCTCCCGGACCGAGCTGGGGCTTTTGGGTCGTCGCTGGTCCCCCGAGGCCACCAAACTTCCAACCTAGGTGCTCGGGGGTGCATTTCATTGTGAAAAGGGGGCTAGGAAACTCCGGGCGCTGCTCGGCGCCTCCCGTGGCCGCGGCTGCTGCAGTCGAGAGCCCTGTGCTACCGGGGCTGGCGCGGGTGGGAGCCGCGGACGCCTAGCGGGATCCGAATCCCCAGGGAAGGAGCGAGATTCCGGGGTCCCAGGCCTCGGGGGAAGAAAGGGCCCATTCCAGATTAGAGATTTTTGAAATGAAAAAGAGGTTACAAAGTCGCCCCTTTCCCGCTGAACTTTGATTTTCTGACCGATAGAGGCCGGTAGAGGACTGTGAAAGAAAAGTTATCCCCCAGGATGGACTTCTCTCAGCCGAAGCCTGCCGCTGCCCTCTGTGGTGTTGTGAGTGCAGATGGGAAAATCGCTTACCCTCCGGGAGTAAAGGAGATCACCGACAAGATCACCACCGACGAAATGATCAAACGCCTGAAGGTAAGGATCTGGGTCGATGAGCTGTGCTCTGGGTGGCTTTGTGACAAATGTGGTTTGATTGGACTGCTCAGCCTGGCCTTTGAAGTTTTTAGTACCAAGTTTTTTAAGATAACTTATCGTCTTCTCTCATAACCAACCCCCCAAAGTATTGTTCTGACTTGTAGACATCTTTGGATAAGTTCTGAAAGGACCATAAATAGCATGGGAAATTTAAATTTAAAAAGTGGTTATTTCTGCTCTGTTTATTAAGCATAAGAACGCATGTTTAGTTGCTTCGCTTTCTGTGATTATTTAATGAATATTGTTTAAGTGCTGTGTATAAGTGTAGACAGTGATTTGCCCCAAATGTTCCTACTTTCATCAACTCTAAAATACTGATTTGAGCACAAGCCACATTTTCACCCTCTTAGTTTCTCATAACTTTCTAATATCTGGAAGCTTAACTGGTCATACAGTGTGGCTAAACTTTACAGAGTATACAGATCTTTCAAAATTGGAGCTTAAAGTAAAATAATGACTTAAGTACATGTATACCCAAGAAATTTGAGGACTGGATTATCAATATTTCTGTGAGGTTTATTTTCAGTGTTGTCTATTTTAATCTTGCATTGGTCAGTTTTGGGTTTTCATTACTGAATGAAGGTTGTTTTTGTTATGGAATCAGGTTCAAGCAGTGACTGTCACTTTGGACAATTTTGATTCACCAGGGATGTTGTAGGCAATCTCAGAGTCATTTTGGTTGTCACAATTGGGGCTGTGTGTACTAGGGAGACTGGGCAATGAGTCCTCCTAGGAAAGAGTGTGGGTGAAAGATCTTAAACTATTGAAGTAGGGCATTGACAGTTGGAATAGAGAGACAGAGAATGGATGAGTTGTTTGGGTCTTGAACTTAACCATCTTCCTGCCTTCACTTCCCAAATCCTAGTTATAACTACATCCTGCCCCAAATGTTGTTCTCAACCTATGGGTCACGACCTCTTTGTGTGGAGAGACCCTTTCGCAGAGGTCGAATATCGGATATTGCAATTCATAACAGTAGCAAAATTACAGTTATGAATTAGCAATGAAATAATTTTGTGGTCATCACCACAGCATGAGGAACTATATTAAAGGGTTGAAGCATTAGGAAGCATTTGGCACTGTCTTCAAAGTTGTAAGTTGGTGGAAGGCTAGGCAAGAAACTTTGTTGACAACTTTTCTGCCTTGTGCAACTTTATAAAATGTATTTTTAGGGCTTGATCTTAGAATCTAGTATAGTGCCTAGTAATTGAGTATAGTGCCTGTGTTTAAAGTATTCCTGTGTTTTAGTTTTCATTTGTTGCCCCTTTGAAAGACTCAGTCTGTTTTCTTTTCATTCTGTTCCTTTTTACTGGTGGTATGGGGGTCATGTGCGGTCAGTGTATATTAAACCTATGCTCTGCTCTGCCACTGAGCTATACCCAGCCTAAAGCAGATCTTTTTGTTTTCAAGATAGGGTCTGGCCTAAAACTTGCTGTGTAGACAAGGCTGGTCTCAACTTCTTTCAGTTTTCTGTGCCTTTGAAGTGTTGGGAATATAGACATGTGCCACTATGCTCAACTAAACTCTTTTTTTTTAATGTGAGAATGTATATATGGCTGTGTGTGTGCATTGTTCATGCATGTATATGCATATTTATGTTTAAGTACATAGGTACTTTTGTGTATGTTTATGGAGGCCAGAGGACAATCTTGGTTATTGCCCTCAGAAATATTGTCACCTTCTTTGAGACAAGGTTTCTGGTTGGCCTGGAGCTCACCAGTTAAGTTGGACTGGCTTTCCAGTGAGCCTCCAGAATCTTCCTGCTGAGATTACAGTTAATTATCTGCTACCACATGAAGCACTTTTGCCTGTGCTAGGGATTGGAGCTCCAACTCAGGTATACCTTATGCTTAGGAGGCAAGCGCTAGTCAATTTAGCTATCTCCCCAGCTCCCTAAGGCCAATCTTGCTACTAAAGAATGTTAACGTTTGCTAAGATTATATTGTGTATTTTGAGTAAGAATCTGAATTAAGGAAAAAAATAAAGCTGCTTAATAATATTAACATTGTGTGTGTATGTATGTGTTTTGTCCTATTTATTTCATTCTCTCACGGAAGGTTGGTTTGTTTTTTCCAGGGGATGTTTTTCTATGTAGATCTGGCTGTCTTCCTCTGCCTTCTGAGTGCTGGGATTAAAGAGATATATATGCTCATTGATCCATCCCAGTTTTGGGACAGGGTGTTACTGTTTAACTCAGGCTAGTCTTGGACTCAAAAATCCTTCTTCCTCAGCACCTGACTTGGAACTGCTGGGATTACAGGTGTGTGCCACAAAACCCAGCGCTCATCTAGTTTTGACCAGATGTTTAAATTAAGGATATTGAAATAAGTGGTGGCACACACCTTAAATCCTGGCACGGGGTAGAGGTGGGGGTGGGGGTTGAGGCAGAGACAGGTAGATCTCTGGTTTCGAGGTCAATCTGATCTACACTGCCTGGGTTCCAGAGCTATACAGAAACTTTGTCTCAAAAACAAAACAAAACAAAAAAATTGAAATAGCCAGACATGGTGGTGTTCACATTTAAGAGGAAGGAGGATCTCTGTGAGTTTGAGACCAGCTTGGTCTACATAATGTGTTCTAGACCAGCTAGAGGTATACAGTGAGGCCTTGTCTCCAGAAGATAAATAAAATTAAATAAAGGAATATTCAAACCTTGAATCCCTGGGATAAACAATCTTAAAAGAAAAATAGGAAAAATTGGGACCAGTAGTTAGATTTAGTAGGTAAAGGTGCTAAATCTGACAACTTAAGATGGAACCCATATGGTGAAGAGAATGAATTCCTACGAATTGTTCCTCAGACGTCCACATGCAAGCCATCCACAGTCTCTCTGACTCTTTCACACACACTAAATAAAATGTAATGAAAAATTTAAAAATTTTAGAAAGCTATGACTACATTTTCCACTTAAAGACAGATTAAAAAAAAAAAAAAGACAGATTGAATATTAGAACTATTCTTAACTGTGAAATGTCAAGGTTAGCACTGGGCTAATTGTCCATTTATTATGAATACTTTTGCAAGATAAAGTTGACATTTTTATCAATTTTTATTTTCTGCTTTTTTTAAGACACAAACTTGATATGACCCCTAGACTGCCCTCAAACTTGATCTTCCTGCCTCTGCTTCCCAAGTACTGGAATTACAAGTATGTATGTTGTACGGCACCACACTGAGCTCGTTCCCTTTTTTTTTCCCAAAGACAAAATCACATAGCCTAGGCTCTCCTTGAACTTAAGCTCTTTCTAACTCCACATCTGAAATGCTATGATTACTTACCATCATGCCTAGGGACTGAATGTAGGACTTCATGCATTCTAGGCTGGTGCACTACCAGCTGATGCATATCTTCAGCCTATGTTTCTTTTCTTTTCTTTTTTTTTTTTAATATTAGTTACAGTTTGTTAACTTTGTATCCCTGCTGTATCCCACTCCCTCTTTCCCTCCCAATCCCACCCTCCCACCCTCATCTCCTCCCTGCTCCTTTCCAAGTCCACTGATAAGGGAGAACCTCCTCCCCTTCCATCTGATACTGGTTTATCAGGTGTCTTCAGGACTGGCTGCAAAGTCCTCCTCTGTGGCCTAGCACAGCCTGTTACTTATGTTCCCCTTCAAATTGTCTATTTTTGAGAGAGGCTCTCATTATGTATGCATGCTCAGGCTAACCTCAAAATTTTGATCCTCTTATATCGTAGGCATTAGAAACATGTACTGCTACATGAATTTGGCTCCATAATTTAAAAAAAAAATGACTTTGTATAGCTTCACATGGAGGTAAGAGAACAACTTGAACTAGTTTTCTCTTTCTACCACTTGGGTCCCAGGGATAGAGCTCAGATGGTCAGACTTGGTTGTATTTTGTTCCTAAGTACCTTTACTTACTACTGGCTCCAGAGTTTTAAAGTTAGTAGGATCCTAAAGAAATTCTGCAACCTCTTCCTAACAGATGACAAAAATTAGGTCCTTAGTAGCTAAATACCAAATAGCACTCCTCAGGAGCAGTTATTAAGTTGATTGGTGACCGATCCAGGACACTGGTGTCAATTTTGTTTTGGTTCTGATGTAGCTTGCTTCTAAGGCATCTTTATTAGTTACAACTAAAGATTCATGGTTAAAAAAATTTGTACTTAATGGTTTGTGTGTGGGGGTCCATGTCTACAGCACATGTGTTGGAGGGGCAGGAGGACAATTTTTTATAGTTGGTTCTTCCACTTTTATGTGTTCTGGGGGTCAAACTCAGGTTGTCAGGTTTGGCAGTTGCCTTTAGTCCCTGAGCCATATCAACAGCTCAAGAGTTGTAATTTGAGATGCGGAGGGTAGGCAGGTAGGCTGACTGATAAAATTCAAAGCTGGCTCCAAGCTTGCTTTGTAGCTGAGGATGACCTGGAACTTCTCATTCTCCTGCCTCTATTTTCCAAGCACTGGCATTATAAGCAGACACTCCTCTTTGCTGGGTTTAGGTCAATATAACAAGGACAGCCCCAGGTTTGCATAGTTTAAAAAAAAAAAATTAGACATGGTCTTTTTTCCTACCCCTGGCTGTTCAGGAATTCACTATGTAGACCAGGCTGGACTCAAATTCAGAGGCCTGCCTCTGAAGTGCTGGAATTGAAATCATGCACCCTAGTTCCTGGACATAGTAAAACTTTAATTTCTATTTCTGAGGAACTACTTTATGTATTTTGTTATATTTGGTTTGGTCCCCTTGAATATACTGGCATAATTTCTGCTTTAATAGATTTTTCCTATTATATAGCCCTAGTACATCGTTTGTCTATAGATCTTATTTCTTACTAAGGGAACTGTCTTAGGTTTCATATTTGGTAGTTTTAACTCCTTCGGTCAGATACCTGAAGTTGTGATATTATATTGGTTCATTTGTTTCTTTGATTTGTTGTGGTCAAGCTTTACAAATACAGGCACGAGATCAGATTTGTTCA